AAGTTTCTAGGATTTCTGAGTTTCACACAAAGGCAACCTACTTAAAGGCCTATTATTATTTGCTAAGGAGCCTTAATGGGGCAGTGGTTAAGTACTGTGCTGCTAAACGAAAGCTACCTGTTCAAGCCCACCCAGTGGCTCTATGGGAGAAAGACCTAGCAGTTGCTTTCATAAAAATCACAGCCAAGAAAACCCTACAGGACAGTTCTGCTCTGCCATAGGTTGCTATGACTTGGAGTCGACTCATCAGCACCCAACAACCTTATTTGTTTACGGGGGATGGGGGGGATGCTTAGAGTCACACTATGCTGTTGGTTCCACACATAATGGTGATCAAGGTGTATGTGAAATTGATTTACAAGAACCCCATGCTACTTGTCATTACTAACACAAATTCTACACCTTGGGGGAAAGGAAGTAGAAAAGAGGAACATTTTCAAACTGATGTTTCAGACATGAGATCACTTTAGAGAAAATTAATTCCAATAGGGGGTCTCTAAAGAGAACTACGGTTTGAAACAAAAACACAACAGTAACTGCAGCTATTCCAGGAATAACTAATTCTGAATGACACAAGTTCTTAATTTTCTGTATTAAAAGTTCCTTTTGGTTCTAATTTTAATATAGAAGGATATACAATTGTAGGGCTTCCCACTCCCTATGCTATCCCTCATTAGCTGTTTCACTCTCTTTATTTTACAGAATTATACAAAAGGCTGACAATAGTAGAAAAAATGAGTATAAAATTTTTTCATGTTTTCCACCAATATTGTGCATGTTAGAGAAAAATGAGTTTTCCTAAATGATGTAATGGTATTTAATAAGCTTTTCATTTGGCATAATTTAAGTCCATTCAGTAGAATACTCTGTAGAGGTTGGATTATAACTGTGGAGTGTATCTTTTACAAATCAAGTCACTTAATTAAATCTATTTATGAAACATGAATTGTTGTTACGTGCCGTCGAGTCGGACCCAACTCATAGCAACCCCTCCTTGGGTTTCCGAGGCAGTATCACTACAGAAGTAGATTGCCCCATCTTCCTTCCAAGGAATGGCTGGTGGGTTTGATCGGCCAGCAAATTAGCAGTCAAATGCCTTAGGCACTACGCTCCCAGAGCTCCCTGAAACATGAATAGGAGAGTTATTCTAGGGAAGTTTCAATAGGTTCAGAATCTCTAGTTCTCAGGACACACTATAGGATTTAACTTTATGCCCTTCTAACTCTGCTTTTCAAAAGCTGGTTATAGGATGGAGCTCGGCACTAAATAATCAGCGACATATTACATATCGTTAAGAATGTTATTACCAACCAACTAGGATGTCTTTATGAATTTTGGCCATGGACAAGAGTTGAGGATGAGGTCAGGTTTTTGTTTAGGGGCTAGAGTTTCAATTTATTTACTCTTCAGAAAACACCGCTGGAGTAAAGTTCACAGAACCAAGTGCTAAACACTGGTTCCATTTATTCAGCTGGTGTGAGTGTTTCAGGAAGCCACTTACAAGCACTAAACACATTGGTATAAAAATACAAGTTCATTTAAAACAATCCTTACATCTCAAGTTCATTTTATCAATATTATTAGTTTAATTAGGATAAATATATAATTTAAATAACTGTAAGTAGTCAGGTAGCATAGTGCCTAAGGCACTTGACTGCTAACCAGAAGGCTGGTGGTTCAAACCCACCAGCTACTCCTAAGAAAGAAGGTTGGGCAATCTACATCCATAGTGATACAGCCTTGGAAACCCAAGGAGGGGTGGCTATGAATCGGATCCCACTCGGCACATAACAACAACAACAACAACAAATAAGTAGTTAATGTGTAAATAGCATGTGGTTGCAAACAATGCTTGACTGGTTTGGCGTATAATGAAGTAATTATGTACAATAAGGAGAAATAAATGCAGGTGACTACATAGAGTAGGACGTTATTCTATAGTTTACTTTAGGCATTATTCTTTCTCTGGGATTACTTAAGTTTCAAAAAACATGATTATGATTGTTTTAACATTTCAAAGCTTAGTGAAAGCCCTTGAAAGTCAAAGCTACACACGCAGAAGTAAAATTGTGTCTCCGGGGACAGAATTTATATTCTCAACAATACATCCAGTTAATAGTTGATGCTTTCCAGAAGAGACCTAATCAGTGCTTTCTATTAATGTTTTCATTTTCAAAGGCTTTAAAATCAGTGACTCTATTAACCAATTCTCATGAAACATGGTTCAGGCTTAGGTGGAGTTTCCTGACAAAGCTTTCCCTACTGCACAGCCAGCTGTGGCCAGGAAGGAGAGTTTTCTGCAGCCTGTTATGAGGCCATTTGCTTCTGGGAGAACCCAGATACGCAGAGTGAATGCCTTGTGGAATTGTCTGATGCCTGCAATTGCTGCCAGGTTCAGGTTTTTATTGTGGGTGCTTCCTACTTGCTAGGCATATCCCATGTGTGTACAAACAACCCGTATACCTGCGATCTCTGAGGAACAGACACTATTCTTTGAGCTGCCTTAATATTCTACTTCTTTCCATTTGCTCCCTCTTCTCTTTTCCACTTGTTTGTATACAGTGTATCCTGTGAATTAGTTTAAAAAAAAAAAAAAAACTACACTCAAGACACAAAAGCAGAAGTTGCTTACTTGCTTAAAACCAACCTCCTCTCTTTGTTTCCTAGTACTTGGAAATTTCTGAGGATTCTTTACCACGTAAAATCCTTTGTTTGATAGTGACACTCCTTTTGCAGAATAGGCTAATTTGCACTTTGCTATGCTCAACCTATATTTCAAATTTTCCCTCAAAATATAGTTCTTCTGGGAAAATTCATGATTAAGTCACCTACCCATTTGTAGACGAAATTAAAGGGAAAAAATGAAATTAGAAAGGAAACATAACACATGTGAAAGAGCATTGGACTGGAAGTTAAGAAACATGACCTCCAGTTTTCGTTCCAAAACTTGCCAATGCCATGACCTTGACTTGCTTGGCTTTGACTAATTTTCCATCCTATGCCTCATAAGTACATGCACACCTACCTGGACACACACTCACTTATACCAAACCAAACTCACTGCCTGGAGTCGGATCTGACTCATAGCGACCCTCCTTGGGTTTCCAAGGCAGTATCACTATGGAAGTAGATGCCCAACCTTCCTTCCAAGGAGTGGCTGGTGGGTTTGAACCAGCCACTGGTTAGCAGTCAAGTGCCTTAGGCACATATGAATGCAAGAATGAAATCTATAAAATTACAAAAATTATTTAGTCCATATTATATTTATATAGGAGTCATCACATTTATTTATAGGAGTCCCTGGGTGGCACAAATGGTTAAGCCTCGGACTAGCGGCCAAAGGATTGGCAGTTCAGACTCACTCAGAGGCACCTCAGAGGACAGGCCTGGTGATCTGCTTCTGAAAGTTCACAGCCTTTGGAGACTATGGAACAGTTCTCTCAACAAATGAAAGTAGCAACACATTTTATATACATTTTATATACACTTGTTTCTTTTACAGATCTCATCCTTTTATTTGCATAATGTATTGAGTTTGATCCTGATACCTGGTGTCAGGATTGGAAGAAGAATCATTAACAACCTGAGATATGCAGACGATACAACTTTGCTTGCTGAAAGGGAGGATGACTTACAGCACCTACTGATGAAGGTTGAAGAATACAGTCTGCAGTATGGATTACATCTCAACATAAAGAAAACAAAAATCCTCACAACTGGACCAATGAGCAGCATCACAATAAATGGAGAGAAGATTGAGGTTGTCAAAGAATTCACGTTGCTTGGTTCTACAATCGATGCCAACGGAAGCAGCAGTCAGGACATTAGACGACTGTAGCATTGGGAAATTCAACTGCGAAGGAACTGTATCAAGTGCTGAGGAGCAAGGATATCTCCTTGAGGACTAAGGTGCAACTGACACAAGCCATGATATTTCCAATCGCCTCGCATGCATGTGAGAGCTGGACAATGAATAAGGAAGACCGAAGAAGAGTTGATGCTTTTGAGTTGTGGTGCTGGCGAAGAATGCTGAAAGTACCATGGACTGCTAAAAGAACTAACAGATCTGTCCTGGAGGAAGTGCAGCCAGAATGCTCCTTGGAAGCAAGAATGGCCAGACTTCGTCTCACCTATTTTTGTCATGTTGTCAGAGGGGACCATTCCCTGGAGAAAGATGTCATGCTTGGTAGGGTGGAGGGTCAACGAAAGAGGGGGAGGCCTTCAATGAGATGGATTGACACAGTGGCTGCGATGATGGGCTCAAGTATAGCAGGGATTGTGGGGCTGGCGGGGATCGGGCAGTGTTTCGTTCTGCTGTGCATGGGGTCGCTATGAGTCGGAAACGACTCGACAGCACTTAACAACAACAACATTGAGTTTGATTCTAGGCATCTGTTTTTATCAGAAGAGGAGGTCATTTCTTTCAGAGCTATAAGAGGGTGATTGGAATGCCAGACACAGACCCATGTGGACTGCTTAATTAATGCAGTAAGATACAATTATATTTTATACTTTCAATATTATAAATATTAAATATATTATTAGAGTTTGAAGAATTCATTTAATGTTCATGTTACCTGGATATGTGCTTAGCCATAGAGACATAGAAACCCTTTAGAGGAAAGATACCCTTCATAGGTATACCCTTCAGAGGTCTGATTTTATATGCTTACTTATTTCACAGTGAGGAAACTGAGGCCAAGAGAAATAAGCCCAGGTCTCCCGCCTACCTTTCAGCCCACTTTGCTTTTATATACGTCGTTAAGTGGCCAGCGATGATAGAGGCCTTTGGACCATCAGCGGGGAGTTCTCAGGGTTATTTTCTCAACAAGAAACCCCACAGTGAGGCTTTTTTTCCGGAGCCTGCCCTATTAGGTGGGTCGCTCTGTCCCGCCCCCTCTCAGTTGTTCTGGTGATAAATGGGCTGCAGCACGCGGACCCCCTCGATCCCGGAGCCCCAGTCCCTTCTCAGGAGCTGCACAGGGAGCGTGTTGGATGCGATGGGTTGTGGCTCCAGCAGAAAAGTAGTCCCGGAGCCGCCAGAGCTGGCCCAGGTCAAGCAGGAGGGTCAAGGCAGAGGCAGCGCCGTAGGCAACGGGCCGGGATCCGCAGAGATAGCAGAGGCGGCTCGGGGAATGCAAGTGGTCCGCTTCCGAGCCAAGTTCGACCCCCGGGTCCTCTCCAGGTAAAGCGCCTGGTGAAACGCGGCCTGCAGGCTGGCCTGGGGCTGAGTCATAACAGGTAACCTGTGAGCAGGGAGCTAGAGGAAGGGAAAATTCAAGAGATGGACGATGACGAGGAGCATTAAGGACAGGAAGGGAACTCCTGTCCTCAGGATTTGGAAAGGAGGAGGCCTTCCAGCCCTCATCCCTGGGTCTATGGTATTTACTGGGGCTGGGGCCAACCAGACTAGTTTTGTGAAGTATCCTCCACTAAATTCATGAGAAAGGGATCATAGTGCACGGTGCAAAAACGTTAAATAAAAACCAGACGCACTGAGGTGGAGTCGGATCCGAGTCAGTGACCCCTCCTTGGGTTTCTGAGGCAATGTCTCTATGGAAGTAGATTGCCCAACCTTCCTTTCGAGGAATAGCTGGTGGGTTTGAACTGCCAGCTTTCTGGTTAGCAGTCAAATGCCTTAGGCACTATGCCATCAGAGCTCATTAGTACAATTAAATATTAGTGCAGTTCTTAGTTACTGTCTTCATGAAATATAAGTAGGACTTAGCTGACTTCCATGTAGGAAAAGAGCAACAATGGTAGGTTGTTTGGCCGGAGAAATTGCCTCCCAGTATGCCATATTAGGGACATTCTGGTGGCATACTGCCTAAGGCATTTGACTGCTAAGCAGAAGGCTAGCAGTTTAAATCCACCAGCCACTCATGGAGGAAAGACTGGGCAATCTACTTCCATAGTGATACCGCCTCGGAAACCCAAAAAGGGGTCTCTATGAGTCAGAACCCACTCCAGGCAGTGAATTTGTTTTTTTGTTTTTGTGTCATATTAGACATGCTGAGCAAGGAAATTGCAGAATTCCTTTCCACTCTACAGTGTATGGTGGGGTACAGTGGTGGATGGCTCAGTTGGCTTTTTAGGGGGGCACTTCTAGTCCTAGAATTATTTGCTTACTTAATCCCAGCACTCTGTGCCAAGTCTCTATAGACTCCTTCCCTGGCTTTCTTGGAAACGTTTGGGACGATAATTGCTTAACGATCAGTCCAGTAGCTGCTAGGCTTAGGGAGGAACGAAACTGGCAGACCCCACTGTGTTTGAATCAGAATGGACTTGGGATCTTCTCAGGATTAAATCGATTGAACATCTCTGGCCGGCCATCAGTATCCAGGGAGATGAAGCTTGTACTACAGTGTTTGACCATTTGCTCAACCCAAGTGCTTTCCTATAACACTGACTTTGAGGCTGTTCTTTGAGAGGGGAAGAGTGTGAAAGTATAAGAAATGGATAGAATTTGTAAATGTATTTGCCCCTGCTTGATTCAATTCTTGCTTCCTGTTTTCAAAGTATATGTGATGATTAGGGAATAATATGAATTCAGTGAGTGATGCTTTCAACAAGCATTTATTGGTGTTTCTTCTGTGCCAGGCACTGCACTAGATGTAGCCACTCAAATCATAAAGATGGCCTCCCTCCATGTCTGTCAGGAGCTTATGAGCAAGGCTGTAGTTTTAGGAATTTGTTATTAGGCATTAGTTATTCAATTTGGGGCCATTTATTTCCACTACTCTAAATCCTGGTTTAAAGCCTACTGATTTCATATGCTAAATGACTAGCATTTTGTCAAATACGTGTTATATAAAAGCCCTTAACAATATTGAATCAAACCTCTTTTATTTGAGCAAAAGAATATAGTTCTTCAGCAATAGTAATTCTCGGAGATCTTATGATTAATCCTGTGAGCAAATGAGTTTGCCGTGCAGTTTTGGAACATAGCAATAAATTAGTATTTGTAAAATGCTTTAATCTACATTAGAAGTAATGTAAAACTTTGTTGGTTTGCAATGCAATATAATTTGAAATGCCTGTGATTATCTTCATAATCACACTGGGGGTGCATGTGAATAAAAAAAGCAGAGTTGGAAAGGGAGGATGGAAAGAATCTATTTAAGATTTTACTAAATTGCTATCTGTTGTGATAAGGTAATTGGCCAGAAAATTAAGTGCACTGTATAGAACAAAGCTGTTGTCCTGTAAGCTGGTAGAGCTGAATGTCATTTTTGTTCAGTGAGCACAGGAATATAGGGAACCAAAAAGTAGGCAGCAGAGCAGTAAAAATTACAGAAAGAATAAGCTAAGCAAAAGAAAAAAGAAAAAGAAAGGACTATTTAAAGCACAGATTGATATTTACTTTTGAATCTTTTGTATTGAGTTTGTGACTGAAGGTTTCTTTCTCCTATCTGGGTACTTTACATTTTTCTTCCCTTCTCTGGTAATCTGTTGTGAATTTCCAAATCAGTTCTGACACATAGTGACCCTGTAGGAGAGAGTAGAGCCACCCCAGAGGGATTCCTAAGCTGTAACCTTTACTGTACCATATCACTAGGTCATTTCTTCCTTAGAGTGGCTGGGGCTGGTGGGTTTTAACCACCAACCTTTTGGTTAGCAGCTGAATGCTTAACCTTTGTGCCCCCAGAGCTTCTTCTGACAAACTTACATGGGAGACATTTTAATAAAGTGGGAAGAATACCAAATTATATAAGATTTGGATTGTAATCCTGACTCTACAATTTAAATAACCCATCAGCTAACCTACGCCTCAAATTTCTTTATTTGTAAAATGAGTTGCTTTCCAGACCATTCTCTAATATTCGCTAATCCTTAGTCTTTGAAATCCTAGCTGCCTTTTTGTTATCATTAATGTGTCAAAGTTACACATTATTGACATACATCTCATGTTAAATTTCTGGTTGTTGCTGTTGTTGTTATGTGCCGTCGAGTCGGCCCCGACTCATAGCGACCCCTCCTTGGGTTTCTGAGGCAGTATCACTACGGAAGTAGGATTGCCCACCCTTCCTTCCGAGGAGTGGCTGGTGGGTTTGAATCGCCAGCCTTCTGGTTAGCAGTCAAGTTTAGAAATTTCAAGTGCAGGAGGGTTGAGAGGTGGGGAGAAGTCTGTGGAAATCTGTTGGCTGGAGCGTGGCCCTGTACCACTCTCACTAGACTTCTGAAGCCTGCCTTTATAATAAACCAAAAACCAAACTCACTGTCGTCGAGTTGAATCCGACTCATAGCTACCTCTCCTTGGGTTTTTAAGGTGATATCACTATGGAAGTAGATTGCCCAATCTTCCTTCCGAGGAGTGGCTGGTGGGTTTGAACAGCCAGCCAACTGGTTACCAGCCAAATGCCTTAGGCACTATGCCCCAGAGCTCCTGCCTTTATAATAGGACAGCCATATTTACTTTTTCAATGATGACCTGTTAAAGAGCTACTGTGCATGAGATGCGTATGGGACTGACAGCTCACAGACAAGTGACACACAGAAACTTACTCTTAGCACCTTGTGTTCTGATGTGGTAGGCTCCCTCCTTTGAGAAGTTATAATTGGGAATAAAGCTCTTTTTATTCTCCCCACATGGTCTGGTGTTTGATGTTCAAGAACGATAAAAGCAAAGATTGGAAGGAGGAAATGATAGAAGGAGGTTCTACAATTCTGCAAGGAAGTTTTGGTAAAATGAGTTTAAAGGAGATGAATTTGAATCCCATCCCTTCCAATTATAGTCTGTGTGACTTTGGGAAAACAACTTAGCTTTTTTATCCTTAATTTTCCTATTAAGAAAAAGGAATTTGTATGACATCACCTGGAAGTTTCTGAGTGCTGCAAGCAGTTAATGCACTTAGCTATAACCTGAAAGAGGAAGAGGCAGCCGCAGGGACCCAGGTAAGTGTGGTACAAGAGGTTTCCAACAGGGAGACAAACCTGTCTGTTGGTTTGTCCTACCGTGCTGATGTGTTGATGTGAGTTTTGAGGCTGAGCCACTGGTGTTTCTAACCCAGCAGGATGCACATGGTGCACAGGTATCAGCCCAGCTTACAGACTGAGACAGACTAGGAAGAAGGAAGAGGCCGTCCACTTCTCAAAGAATTAGCCAGGGAAAACCTTATGAATAGCAAAGAAGCATTGTTTGATACATTACCGCACAACTTTATGAACAGTCCAGTTAGGTTAGAAGGCTCTCAAAATAGGACTGGGAAAGAGCTGCATCATCTCAGTAAAACCAGCCTTACTCATATGGATAAGGTAAAGCTTTTGAGACCTCCATTTGCTGATGTAGCACCACTCAAATTGAAGAGAAACAGCTTCAGACATCCGTTAATCATCGGAACATGGAATGTACGAAGTATGAATCTAGGAAAATTGGAAGTTGTCAAAAATGAAATGGAACACATAAAGATTGATATCCCTGGCATTGTTGTTGTTGTTATGTGCCGTCGAGTCGACCCCTGACTCATAGCGACCCCTCCTTGGGTTTCCGAGGCAGTATCACTACGGAAGTAGGATTGCCCAACCTTCCTTCTGAGGAGTGGCTGGTGGGTTTG